GCGAGCCCGGACCGCAACTTCACGGCCACCGATCCTGTGAAGCTGGACAGTGCCGCGCAGCAGATCTTAACCCTCCCTCCCTCGACCGCCGATTTGAAAGTGGCCTCTCATGAGATTCCTGATGATGCCCACACTGTCCCCCCAACACCTGAGCCAACCACCTTCCAGGACGCTGTCACCCAGAGTTTCTCGGTGCTCACGGAAACACCTGGTACAACCAGTGACCCTCCAGACCCTCCATCCCACCCCCCAAACTCTCCGACGACCTTCAATAGGACCAGTGGACTCCTGGTGACCATGGCAACTAGCTCTCTAGAGACCTTCAATGTGACCAGCGGACCCTCCGTCACCAAGGCAGCCAGGTCTTTGGAGACCCCCAATATGACCAGCGGACCCTCGCTCACCAAGGCGGCCAGTTCTCTGGAGACCCCCAATGTGACCACTGGACCCTCCCTCACCAAGGCAGCCAGGGGTTTGGAGACCCCCAATGTGACCAGCGGACCCCCGCTCACCAAGGCAGCCGGGTCTCTGGAGACCCCCGGTGTGACCAGGGCAGCCCCTATCCTCGAGACAACTAGCTCCAGCATACACGTATCTCCCACAGCTCCCGCGGAGACGTCCCTACACACAACCGCCCGGCTCTCCCCGCAGTCCGAGAAGGACACCGGCAGCACTCTGCTGGTAGCCGTGCTCGTGGCCCTGCTGGTGGTGGCGGTCCTGGGGACACTGCTCGTGCTATGGTGCCGCAGGCAGAGGCGAAGAACGGGGTCCCTGATGCTCAGCACGAGTGCAAAGCGCAACAAGGTGGTGGATGCCTGGGCCGGGCCAGCCCGGGTGTCTGACGAGGAGATGGCCACAGCCACCGTGGGAGGGTCTGCAGGTGACAAGACCGGCGGGATCCCTGACGGGGAGCGGCCTGGTCGGAGGCCCACACTCACCACTTTCTTTGGCAGAAGGAAATCTCGCCAGGGCTCTCTGGCTCTGGAGGAGCTGGAGGCGGGGCCAGCTGCCAGCCCAAAGCCGGAGGAGGAGCCCCTGGTGGGCAGTGAGGATGGGGAGGGGGAAGCCCCCAACCCGAATGGGTCAGAAGTGAGAGATGATAATGCTAATGAATAATCAGAGTGGAGGTTTGAATCATTTCCAGCTTTCGGCTTCTTTTCCGTAACCTCCCTTTTGACGTCTTCCTCACCCAGCATCCTCATCCTGCATCCTCACCAGCATCTTCTTCACCCAGCATCCTCATCCTGCATCCTCACCAGCATCTTCTTCACCCGGCATCCTCATCCTACATCCTCACCCAGCATCTTCTTCACCCGGCATCCTCATCCTACATCCTCACCCAGCATCCTCATCCTGCATCCTCACC